CTTTGCTCGCTTGAGATATCAAAGAGATTGTCCGATGATTTCCGCATTCTGTTGGGTCACCTCTCTTTGGAATGGGCATAAACATTGATCTCTTCCAGTCAGTCAGTCAGACAGTTGTCTGGCCATTTCTGATATTCTGTTATTAATTTGGATCTCTTTCTGTAGGTTTTGAATTGTTTCCAATGCTGTATCTATCTTATTTGATTGTTCCTGTAGTGCTTTCGTGACTTCTTCCTTACTTTTCTCAACTCCATTGTATAGTGTTTTGGTACATTTTATAATCATTTTTCTGAATTCCTTCTCACGCATTTCCAAAGCCTGTCTATCTTCCAGTATGCGGTGTAGTTCTACTTTCAGCTCATTTGCCTTAGTCACTTTATCTCGTTTCTGGACATGTGCTGATATGGTCATCTGTTTCTGGGTTTTTTGGGGGCATATTCAGGAGTTATCTGTGGCCTTAATACCAAGATGGGTGTGTATTTTGGTATTTTTTATGCTTTCTGATTGCCTTCTGGTAGATGTGATCAGGAGATGGGCTTCCCATTCACTCTTCTTACTGAGAAATTTCAAGATGCCACTGTTGGTTGTTGTAACGTAACTCAGTATTTAATTTTTGGCCAATTTCCTTTTTAGTCTGCCTGTCCCACTCCATAATCCCCGTTCAGCCCCTTTTCCTAGTGATAAACAGTTCAGGGCCAGCTGTGGCCGTTTGGTTTTAAGTGGAAACTGTCACTTAAAATTTCGAGGAGATCTATGCACATGTGTAGTAGAATCCTCCAGCAGTGGGGTTGGATATGGGGTGTCCACTAGCTCAGGCACCCCCTCTGGTCACCAGAATGAAGGTGCGCAGACAGCGAGAGACCAATGAACAGATACAAAAAAAAAAAGAATGTTCACACCTTTATCTCTGGGGTTCTGTCAGGCATCTGTGGCTGTTCTGATCTTTCCTCCACTTGGTCTCACCCAAGATTGTGGCTCCAGGAGCAGCTGAGAGTCTTGAATTAGAAAGCAATGGATTTCTTGCTTCTGCTGCAAATTCTGCTAGCTGTAAGCCTTCCAACCTTCTAAATATTCTTTTATATGTGGTTCAGAGTTCTGGCACCACCCTGAGCCTGCTTGTTCTGGTATTCTGTGTTGTTGCTGCCGGAGCTCCTCACTGCACTTTCACCTGATCCACCATCTTGTTTGTTCTCATTTTTCTTTTTCACTGATTTTTAATTGACCTAAATATATGAAAATATATGAAATTTACAATGTCTTTCTTGAGTTCAGTCTTGCCATATAAAATATTGTTAATCTAATGATTGAGTTGGGCTTCATATTACATGGTAGCTTTTCAAGAAATGTTTAAATGATAGTTATTTTAGCATACAGATTTTAGTGTCTAATGTGAGATCTAAAATTTAGAAAATGTTAATATACAGTAAATTGCTTTTTAATTTGAAAAGAAGATAAATGACCAAAAATTTAAGAAGTTAATGAGAACCTCACTGTCTGAGGTAAGTGATCCTAGAAACCATGCTGCTGAAGGATTTCCTCTTAGTAAATCATAGGGCGAAAGAGTGATGAGCGGTTTATTTAGGTTTTGTTAGGTTTATCTCTTGAAAAATCAAACTGAAAGTTACCAAAATAAGAATCTTATATGTAACAAAACTTAGGTTATAATTATAATTATTTGCCAATTCTTTGAATAATTGTTCTGACATAATTTTTTTTAGCATAGTCCAGTAAAACTTATTTTCTTTCCTTTTAAATTTGACTTCTTTGGTAATTTAGTCTTTATCTTCTGGTTTCTAAGTCAATCTGACTCTTTTAATTCTTGTCCTACCATCTTCCTTGTGAATCTTCATTGATGGGTTCTAAGTTGGTCAAAGCCTGTTTTATTATTGACTTTACATCTATTTGTCCAAAACCTCTTCTGTTGACTTCTTGAAATTTTGTATATTAAAAAGAGCAGTTATTTTTTCATTTTGCAAGCCATTATTTGCATTGGCACTGTGTTGTGAGCCATCAGGAAAGACCCTGTGCATAATAAGGACTGAATTCAACTATGTATACCAGAAAACAAAAACAAAAACAGTGGCTTACTTTTTTCTTGGCTAAAAGAAGCTAACTCTAGTTATTAGAGCCCTAGTCTCCTTTTCATTCCTGCGGTATGCTTTTCCTTGCATACTATAAATTTGAAAGATTTCAATCTATCAAGTTTGGAGTTCTTTTAAATTTGATTGTGATATAAAAGGAGCAGTATTTTTCCCTTAGAATAATTTTTTTAGGTCTCTGGACATTTTAAACACAAGTGTAATATTGTTCATAAACAGATCATTTATGATTCCTATAATTGTAGTGTTCTGCAAAGCCATTAACCTGGTGTTCAAAAGTAATCTTTTTTAATATTCTCAGATCCTTTTCACTTAATGGTTGACAAATTTCACATTCAACTAAGATATTTATTGGTTTTACAGTTGTTTCTTTGTTCCATCTGAATAAAAAGTAGCTGAGTTTTCACAAGGATTTTACTTCTTCCACAGAGAGTGTGGCCTGCTTCTCAGCGAGATGTTTTATATCTTTCTGCCATTAGAAAGATACCAGCCTTGACTGAAAATGACCCTGAAACATGGATTGTTTGTAATTTTTCTGTGGATCATGACAGTGCACCTGTAAGTGCAGGGTGTAAATGTGTATTATTATATAATGTAAAACCAAATACACAAGCTGGGCATAGGCAATAGATAAACACAAATGCTTGATTTGATCCTGCGCTATAGATTTTGTTATGTTTGATTGGCAACTTGGAATGGGGGGGCTCTGTCTGAATGTAAATGTTGGCAGAACTGTTTCCTTGTCTTCTGAGGTGAGGTGACAGCTGAATGAGTGTTATGTACAGGCTACTGCCCACTATGGTAAGTTAGTTCCCACAGCCATTATCAGTGATTGGCAGGCTCCTCTGGGTTAGCGCTACTTATGATTTCACTGGAGGGGTAATCGCGCCTAGTGTTATATCACCTTGACCAACGTGTTGTTGGTGCTCATAAAGTTTTGTTGGAGATGTAGTTAACCTAATGTAGCATTAGACCAGCAGCCATTGGAAAACTATCTACTATATATTACTTTGCTTTTGTTTCTGTCTTGGCAGCTAAACAATCGATGTGTCCGTGCCAAAATAAACATTGCTATGATATGTCAAACCTTGGTAAGTCCCCCAGAGGGAAACCAGGAGATTAGCAGAGACAACATTCTATGCAAGATTACATATGTAGCTAACGGTATGTATCTTTCTATTTGTTTTTGCTATCTGGTAATGTGGATGTTCTTGTTTATGATCTTCATCATAACTGACAATTGAGACAAATGCCTTTTATAAGTGCCATTTTAGTTTTTTGTTTTTTAGATTAATAATTTTTAAATATGGAGAAATGCATATTAGTTTATCTTGGAAATTTTTTCAGAATGCACAGGCCTGAATTTTACTGTTGAACTGTTTTTGTTGTTGTTCAGTGCGGTGAAGCCGGTTCCAATTCATAGCAAACCTGTATTGGGTACCCAAAAATTTTTACCTCTTTATGAGAACCAGAACGACTGGCAGGCTTGAGCAGCAGACCTTGTGGTTCACAATCCAGTGTTTATTGTATAGAGCCACTGCACTCCCCATACCATAGAGCTACTGTATCAGAATTTGTGGAGCTGGATAGAAAATGTTTAAAACTCTGTAAGATAAGCACTGGACTGCAAACCACAGGGTTGGTCCTTCTAGCCCACCGGCTACTGTACAAGAGAAAGATGAGGTTTTCTGCCCCAAAATGATTACAACCTCAGAAAACCTATCCAGGCCTGCTATGAGTCAAAACTGACTCTGCAGCACCTAACAATAGCATGTCACTAAAAGGAGCCCTGGTTAAGTACTTGGCTGCTAACTGAAAGGTTGACTGGAACCTGAGCATTGAGCCTGTTTGAACCCAGACATGGCTGATGAAGGGAAACTGGAAAAGATGCCAATTTTTAACATGTAGATGATCTGGAATGCTAGCTGAAACTGAAAACTTGTGGGTCAAAGCCCTGGAATGGGAATCTCAGAAGAGGTGCAGTTAACCTCTCAGGAGCCTGATGCTTGACTTTAAATTATTGCCTGGACTGTGGGGGCCACACACATGCAAAGCACACAGGTCAGCTGTGCTCTTGGAGCCAGCAGGTCAAGAAATTGAGTTGCTCTGCAAGGAGCACACTGCCCTCATTTGATAAGAGGAAGGTTCACTTTCTAGCTGGGCTTTGACCTGTAATTTTTCCCATCCCAGTCAGCATTCTAGTTTGCCCACATTAAAAACAAATGGGGTCTGTTTTATTATCACTACACATGGACCTCACCAGATGGAACATATAGAAATCATATGGACTACATATGCAGAAAGAGACTATGGAAAAGCTCCACATCATCAGTCAAAACAAAGCCAGGGGCAGACTGTGGAACAGACCATCAGTTACTTATATGCAAATTCAGTTGAAGCTGAAGAAAATGAAAAAAGTCCACGAAAGCCTAAATATGACCTTGAATATATCCCACCTGAATTAGAGATTATCTGAAGAACAGATTTGATACATTAAACACTAAAGACCGAAGTCCAGAAGAGTTGTGGGACGACATCAAAAACATCATACAGGAAGAAAGCAAAATGTCATTAAGAAGACAAGAAAGTAAAGGTCAAAGTGAGTATCAGAAGAGACACTGAAACTTGCTTCCCAGCATAGAGAGCTGCTAAAGCAAATGGAAGAAAGGAGGAGGTCCAAGAGCTGAACAGAAAATTTCAAAGATCAGCTCGAGAAGATAAAGCAAAATATTACAACAAAATGTGCAAAGATCTGGAATCAGAAAACCAAAAAGGAAGAACACGGTCAGCATTTCCCAAGCTGGGGGAACTGAAGTAAAATTCAAGCCTCAACTTTTGTTATTGAAAGATGCTCTGGGGAAATTATTGAATGATGCAGAAAGCATCAAGAGAAGATGGAAGGGATATACAGTCACTGTACCAAAAGGAAATAGTTAATGTTCAGCAATTTCAAGAGGTAGCATATGATCAAGAGCCAATGATACTGAAGGAGGATGTCCAAGGTGCATTGAAGAAATTGGCAAAGAACAAGGCACCAGGAATTGATGGAATAAAAATTGAAATCTTTCAAGAAAGTGAG